GCCGGGGGGGGGGTGCGGTCTGGGTGCATGTGCCTTTGGCAATGCAAATGCTGTGCTGAGCAGAGCCACGCTGCAGCCCGAGACAACAGAGATGGCACTGACCTAGTCATTTGCTTAAGAAAAACAGTATTAACAAGCAAAATAATAATAAATAGAAGAACCATTTTATTGCCTTCAGTGCTAGGGACAGAGATGACAGAACTACACAGGACTAGAGGTGCTCTCCACCACTGGAGCCCATGGGTGCTGGCTGAGGATGCAGTGCCGCAGCAGTCCCCGAGCCCCCGGCCCCCAGCAGCAGCCCTTTCCAATGTGCTGGGCTGTGCCAAGCTCAGCCACCACTGCTGGGTCCGCTCCCCATGAGCAAACGCCCCCACCCAGGGCAGCCGGCCACCCCTGCCCGGGGCTGCAGGGGAGCTGCATGCCTCTGGCTGGGGCACCGCTGGGGTTTTTATTTTTGACTATTGTGTGAGCTGGCCCACAGTCAGGTGGGGCCAGGGCCAGGAAAACAGAACTGGTGCAAGGAGTGCAGCCAAACCCCTCGCCGAGCCCGGCTGCTTCCCAGCAGTGCGAGCGCTGAGGGGATGGGGGGCCTGTGCAGCTCATGCTGACTACGTGGCAAAGGGCAAAGCTTTTCCATAGTGTTGCAAGGCACATACTTTACAGGGGTGTATTGCTCCTCAGCCTCCTCCTCGCCTGCCCCTGAGCTGTTTGTCTTGCTGCAGGATCAACCTTTATTTCCTAACCGCCACACACACAAATAATAATAATAATAATAATAAAAAACCCACATCAGTCAGTGGTTCAGACAATGAAGGGAAGGCAGTTGGCTGGCAAACTGAAGTCCATCATCTTCTGTGCGAACTGCAAAGGGGAAAAAAAATACCGTAACATGCTTAAGTCATTACGAAAGGCCGATGCTCTGCTGGCGTCTCATCCCAGCCGAGCACTGCAGTGCACCGTGCGCTGGAGCCCCTCAGCCTAGCTCTGGCCCAGGGCCTGGCTGACAAACTTGGGACAAGTTAATAGAGCTCTGCAGCAGCCTTTGTAATGGCAGCAGTTGACTGCAGCAAGAGGCCATGTCTAGTAGCTCAGTGCTCGGGGGCAAATGGCGCACACTCCCCTGCTGCATGATGGATGGCTGTCAGTGCTGGCAAGGCAGAGAAGGGGTGTTTGGGTGTGAGTGTGTGCGTGTGTAGGTGTGTGTGTGTCTGTGTTTCAGGAGGAAGGTGCTGTGGCCATGTCCCACTGAACTGAAGCAGCTCTTCTGCCCCGGCAGAGCCAGTGCTGCTCCGTAGGCTATTAGCTGTGAAAAGCATTAAATATCACAAAAAAAAAAAAAA